TGGAGTTCACATTGGAGTCTCGAAATGGCACGCAAATGAATAATATAACACGCAAATGAATTAAATAACGCGCAAGTAAATAAATAACGCGCAAGTAAATAAAAAACGCGCAAGTAAATAAATAACGCGCAAGTAAATAAATAATAACGCGCAAGTAAATAAAATAACGCATAAAATGTGAATAAAATAACGCGCAAGTGAATAAAATAACGCGCAAGTAGGAAAAATAACGCGCAAGTGAATAAAATAACGCGCAAGTGGGTAAAATAACGCGCAAGTGAATAAAATAACGCGCAAGCGAATAAAATAACGCGCAAGTGGATAAAATAACGCGTAAGTGAATGAAATAACGCGCAAAGGTGTGTAATTTTGTGACCACAATGTAAAACAATGTTAATGGCAAATTTTTCATCAATCCTTTCTACATACAATTTCTATTGATTTAACGAGAATGTACTGTATTTCGCAAACATCAAGACTGTCAAATTCCAATTCCAGCTAATATTATTCTTAGGAATATGATGACCAATCTAAATGAACCAATTTCATAGTAACTGTTTTTATATTGATTGGTCTCTATATAATTACATTTTACTTTAGAATAATATTGAAATTTTAGACTAGAAAGTAGACAATGAAATGAGGATTAAATCTTGAGACGAATGTAATTCGTAACTAGTTATCGAGGTTGTAATGAATCTCAACATGAATTTATATTAAAATTTAATGCAAATACTAGTCAACAAAGACTAATCAACAATTTTTTTTTTTTACAAGATAATAGACTATATATGCTAGTTAAACAAAAAAGTTGAACATGTTAGAAAAAAAAAATACACTTGTAGAATTAATTACATAAAATCTCGAACAAATAAATGATAATCCCACTTGGTAGCTTATCTCAGATCTGAAAATAAAATACAATATTTCATCTTTTTGTTCACTATATTCATTAAAAAAGAACAAAATATTCTTCTTCCGCCATAATTAAATATTAGCCTTTTATTCTTAAGATACTGATTTAACCTAAATTATCACCTTCATATTTTTGCTTAGCGAGTTCCACTAGTTCATTAAACTCTCCACTCGATTCACACATTGCTCTAAACGTTGATCCCGGATTCTGCAGTAATACGTATGGTGAATCGTATTCTATAACCTTGCCTGCATCTTTTTTTAAAAAAGAATAAATAAGTCATTCCAAAAACAAGGCCTCATCATAAATCTAAAATTAAAAATAAATTTTTACCCATAACTAAAACTTTGTCATAATCAACCACGGTTCTCAACCTATGTGCAATAGTAATGACAGTACTATTCACAAATTCCTCTCTGATAGTTTTTTGGATTAAACAATCAGTTTTGTAATCTACACTTGCAGTGGCTTCGTCCATTATTATTATTTTTGAATGTCGAACCAATGCTCTAGCCAAAGCTATTAATTGCTGTTGTCCTTGTGAAAAATTACTTCCATTTTCTCTAACTGGACTATCTAAATGTAAATCTTGTTTTTTTGATATTGGCGTTTCGGTGGCTAATAACTTGTGCGAAAGTCTTGATTTCTCATTATTAATGAGGTAGTCATTGTATTCATCTTCGGTGTCACCATTTATTAGATGAGCTCGACGAAGAGCATTCCATAATGTTATGTCTTTGTATTCGCTGAAGGGATCTAAGTTACTTCTGTTATCATTGTGAAAAAACAATTTGAATCAAGGGTTGAATGAAAATGGATGTGAATGGTGATTGACTACAAAGTACATTTAATACTCTATCATACCTTATCGTACCATTAAATAATACAGGTTCTTGTGGTATTATAGTTATCCTACTTCTAAGATCTTTTAATCCTATTTTAGTGATATCTATTCCATCAACAATAATCTGTCCTGATTTTGGTTCAATAAATCTAAAGAATGAAGTTGCAAATGTAGACTTTCCACATCCTAAGGTAAAGTTAAACTCATTAAAATCAAAAATGATATATAATCATCTTTCAATTTTCTTTTCTTACTTACCAGTTCTTCCAACTATACCTATTTTTTCACAATCTTTTATATGAATTGTAACATCTTTTATCACTGGTGGACTTTCAGGTCCATATTGCATAACCAAATTATCTATAAATATCTCTCCTTTAACAGGCCATTCAGATGATGGTCTATTGTCAGGAACTATTGATGCAGGTTCACTTTCGAGATTATCTGTGTAATGCACTAGACGCTCTACTGCATTCATATTTGCTTCCTAATTATAAAACAAGTGATTAATATAAGAGAATATAATTAACCTAAATTCCAACTTTATACATTAGCAGCTAAACACTTACCACTTCAGCAAATTGTCGAACACACCAATTAAAGTCCGCAGTAACTTGTGTTGCATAACTAAGAATCAACCCAATAATCGCAGGTTCTACTTGAAATCTTTGTATAATTGCTAATAAACTTGCGCAATAAATCAATGAGTTGGCGATAGTTTCAAGACGGATTCCAAGCCATCTGTTGACAGAAAATTGCACAAAATATGCTCGATTTTCTATATCCATGTAATTCTCATTGGTACTATTTATCATGTTAATAAATTTATTAGTGATACTATTACTAGTAAAAATGATATTAAAGATTTCATACCTTATGAACTGTGTTTGTACTCTGTATGCTCTAATTGTTGGTAGACCAGTTAAAGATTCGGAAAAATGTGCGTAAAGGGAAGATCGTAATATTGAGTCAAGGCCTAAACGAAAACCTTATAAGAAAACATCTTAAAGTAAGCTAAAATACGAATATTTTATATTAGAACTTACGTTTCAATTCACGATTTGTTGCTCTAAAATAAATGGCAGCGCAATAATATAATACGATAAGTGGTATTAAAGGTACAAGAAACCATATAAAAACTGCAATTATCAGTGCAAAAGTCCCGAATACATTCGCCAAAGTACTGAAAAACATTCGATATGATTCAGTGATCAAATTATCACAAGCATCAACATCTTTGCTGAATCTATAAGAAAAATGATTGAGAGAATTATCGTGCATAAAGAACGAATGAAAGTGAAGTTAAATAATAAATACCGATTAATTATTCGACCTAAAGGTGTTGTTTCAAAGAAATTTATTGGTGCTTTTAGAATTTGTTGGATTGCATTCTTATGCAAGTTTCTGGCAGCGGCGATTCCAGCAAAAGAAAGTGTTAAACATACTAAAACACTGAAAATGCTTTCTGCGACACCCCATGCACAGTAAACTGTCATCTATATTTAAGTTGTAAAGAATTATGATTATAAATATAATATATCTTACATTATAACGTGAAACTTACATATTGTTCGGTTGTTAGGGCAAAATTATTGCTTGTCCAAAATGAAAGCCATAAATTACTTCTATCGAGTATAAAAAAAAAAATAAAATCTTAGTGTATATTCGATTTATGTAGCCTCAAATATTAAAAATACTAGGCGCAAACCCGATATTGCTTCCTTGCATCATCACCAATAAAAATAAAAATAATGGTATCAATGCCAAACCCCCGGCAGCTTTTATATAAGTTAGGTAAATCTTGTCTGCAACAGCACCTGTTGTTCGTTCTTCTAATGACATTAATCCTTGTGAAGATGTAGATGGAATAGGTGATGCCAAAAACTTTTTTTCCGTTGACTCATTTGTTTCAATGTCAATTGTAGTCATTTCATCTTTAGAATCCCCAAACTCTGATATTAATTTTGCGAAGTTTTTATTGGCATTAATCAATTCTTCATATGTTCCTTGTTCTACAATTTCGCCATCTTCCATACAAATAATATAATCAACTTGGGATAATAGTTGTAGTTGATGGGTGACTAAGATTCTGGTTTTTTTCGCAAGTGATCCTTGTATACAATTCGTAAACAGGTATTTGCCAACGTGCGCATCAACAGCCTATTAATGAAAATTAGTATTGTAGTAGATACTTAACAAATATCAAGTTTAATGATATTAAAGATTTACCGATAATGGGTCGTCCAATAAAACAATATCCGCATCAAAGTATACAGCTCTTGCAATATTTACGCGTTGCTTTTGTCTAAGTGATAAATGTTTTAGCATTTAAATTTAGAAGTATGCTAAAAAAAAAAAAAAAAGTAAATCTTTATATTTTTAACATACCCTCCAGAAAGATTAATTCCTTTTTCTCCAATTTCTGTCATATCACCCGCTGGTAGAATCGCTAAATCGGGTTCAAGACAACAATCCTTTATTACTCGTTGATATTTTTCTTCATCAAACGGTAAACCAAAAGTAATATTTTCCCTAAGCGTAGCATTCTGTATCCAAGCAGTTTGTGGACAATATCCAACGGTACCGCCGAATATTATTTCCCCACCAACTTTTTTCATTTCACCAACCAATGCTGATAGCAACGAAGATTTCCCTGAGCCCACGGAACCCACAATAGCAACAAGTGTTCCATGAGAAATTGTAAGATTAATATCACTAAGACGCAACTGAGGCGTCAATATAGGCGAATGTTCTGCGTCATCATCATCATCAACATCATCAGTAGAAATCAAAGAATAAGTAGATAAACTTTCCGCAAATTGGTCATTGGGAATTCTTTGGATACCCTTATAAGAAACAGGAGATCCATCCCATACGAATTCTCCATTTATTACTTTAATAGCAAATTTATCAACATTAAAATCAATTTTAGGTAGATGCTCTAATTCGTCAGCTAACAATATTTCTTGGATACGGCCAATTGAAACCCAAGCATCGGTTGCTACGGCAATAACCATGGGTAAAAGTTTTAGAGGCAAACGAATTATATTAAATAGTGCCAAGGATGAAAATACTAATTCGGACGTAAGTGTACCACCAGTAAGTACAAATACAACAAAAGAAAGAATACTAGCAAAAACTGGCATCACCTATTATAAAAAGATAAATAAAATACCGACGATAATTATAGTAATGGTTTAATAATTTTATCAAAACATACCGATGCAACACCTGTGACAATCGCACGAATAATTAATATAAATTTAGTATATCCAAGTTCTTTGTCACGTAATTTATTTAATGTCTTCAAGAAACTATCTTCCCAAGCATAATATTTTATAACTCGAATTCCTTGTAAAATTTCTTGGATCCGCTTAACACGTTCATCGGTAACCTTTGTTGCTTTACTACGTGTGGATGCCAATGCCGACATTACTCTCCCTTGCAATGGTCCAGTAATTACTAAAAAACTAAAACCTGCTAATGCAGATGGGCCAATGTTAAATATCAATAACGCGAGCGCTATTGAGAGTTGAAGTGGGGCGCTCCATAATAAATGAAAATAGGAACAAAAAAAGTCAAGTCTAGTTGTATCAGTTGATATTAGATTTGTAATTTTGCCGATTGTAAATGAATTACGAGCTTTACAACTGAGAATCATAGCTTTGCGATAAATGGTAGTAATTAGAATTGTACGCGTCATGAAACCGGTTTGATCAGTTCCCCAAAGGCACCAAATACTGAGGAAAGTTGATCCCATTTGCATAAGAAACAATATCGTCGCGAGGATGAGTCCATCAGACATTGGAGGTGCATTTGTATTATTAACACTAGCATTGAATGAGCTCACCGAGAATGTCAAAATTTCCTATGTATGGCATTAAAATAATAAAATGCTTAACACTTGATTTCTCATCACGTGACACGTAGCATCACTTGCAATTATAGTTTAGTTCTACAAATCAGACATTCTATTAAAGAATGATAATAAAGTGCTAAAAGTACCTGGATTACCAAAGGCGACAAGACCTGTAAAGTATCACCAAAAAATCTAGCGACTCCTGCACACCAAAATCTAAACCCAAGCATCCTATTTAAAGCTTTTAACAATGATGGTTTCTTTCCTTTCTTAACCTTTTCAACTTCCTTTTTCCACTCAAGTGCAAACTCTTCTGCCAAATGCTTTGACAATCTTTTATCATCTAAAATATATAAATCTTCTTTTTGCAATGGTCTCTCATATCCAAGTCGTAAAATCGCTGATGGCCAATGAAATATTAGCTTGGAAAAAAAATTTGCATTTGCTTCTGGTATGATTGTTTCGCAGTTTGGTGGTCGTGATTTTTCTTCAGGTGATTTTTTCTTTCCAAAGGCCATATTATTATTATTATTATTATTATAATTAAAATACGGTGGGAATTATAGGCATAAATTCATATGTGCAGACGAGAATAATAAGGCTACTAGACACAATGTCAGTAATTAATCGTTTGAAAAAGTATAAGTTTTATTGTCTAAAGAAATTTGAATATGGTTGTGTTGGAATATTGTAAAGAGTTTTAACATTTCGAACTATTTTTTGTTTTTGTTGGTACCCGAAAAATAAAAAATAACTTCGATCTCTTTCAATGTTCCCAAACAAAATATGCCTAAGCCTGGTTTTTTCATTGGAACATCTAAATTGTGACAACTTTGTTGGCATAAACATAGGAAATAATATGACAAGTTAAAAGCATCCACTCGTAATTTTCGAGCGAAACTTGC